TTATTCTATATGGAACCAAATATTTTACCTTATCTGTTTGAAATTATGTTAAAATAGGAAAAAAAAACAAACATAATAACAACAATGATCATAATAACTATTCATAATGATAATCATAATTGATCTAATTATCAATTATTTAGTTATTTAGATATATTTATACAGGTATAATTAATTAATTTAACAAATTTACAATTATCAAATATTTTGGATCTTTTATTAATAGCTGATGAATTATTACTTGATGAATTAATTTATGTGATATTGTTAAAATCGAGTCTACTATATTGAAGATAAAATGTCAATTGTTTTTCAACTAGCCGTGAACCTTAAATCATGTGACAAGCTACAAAATCTAGAAATAGTTAATCACAATCTAATCCAGTACATTGAATCAGATGATTCGTTAATCCTTACTCCCGAATAAAGGAGAAAGTCCAGGATTAAATTGTTCTGGGCATGGATGCTTGGTTCTTTTCGACTTGAATTTCTTTAGCTCAGTTTCAGTGATGGTATCAAAGAATTTCCTTTAGGTTTTTTGGCATTAGTATCCACGAAGGGCGGCGAATTCTGTTTTAAAAAATAAATAAAATACAATCAATTTAAAGTACTTTTATATATTTTTTGGTATCTTGTGTTTAAATTAGTGAGCAGTTTGAAGTTGAATTGTTTCGTAAATTTTTCTACATTTTATTTTTTTCTCATTAATTAATCTCTAAAATTTTAGAAGTAACTAGATTTAAACATGAGACGCGTTTCTTACTTATTATTATACCACAAAGATCAATTTTCGAGGCGAAGATTTTTAAAAAATTACGAAAAATTCTTTTTTATTTATATGTTGCGAGTAAAAATTTTTTTTTCACCATTAAATCAACACGGGGATATGTCACATGACTAGTATAGGTCTTGAGAAAACATTCGGACCGTGCACAGAGAATTATCGAATGAGCTTTAAATTGATATTTTGATCATCAAAAAATGGAGGAAATTTGGCACAAAAATAGCCAATTGAGCACCTTTGCATGAAAATTGTACTACTTTTGTTCCTGCAGATTTCAAAGATTATATAGTACAGTCAAACCTCATTTCAACAAATCCATGGTACAGGCTACCAAAATTCGTTGTATAAATATTAATACATCTTCAACATTCACAAGTGATGTGGTCTTTTTAATTTTGCTTGATATGAATTTAGTTCAATTTTAATCCATAAAATGAATTGATTTATTTAAATTAAAGTTGTAATTAAAAAATGTTATCACAGTTATATTAAATCCTAGATATTCATTTTGCCTGGTTTTGTTGCAGTATGCCCATTTAAATCTGGATTGAAACTCCCAAATGAATTCATATCATTATTTTCAGATAAATATAATATCGGAAAAATTTTTATAAATAAAATAATGAATGATTAAAAAATAAATCTATTGCAGTGATCTATGGTTGTTCTCAGTGGTTCCAGTTTTTCTAGTGGTTCAATTCATGTTCCAGAAAAAAGTCTCCGGTAAACCGCGAACCTCAAAAACCGGAAACTGGTCCGTAACACCACGTGATAATAATATCGAGAGTATTTTTATAATCACGTGCCGTTTTTTAAGTTG